CCCATCGACGCCGCCCCCGCCCGCGTGTACCTCGCCGCCTCTTTTCTGCTCTCTTTCCTCCCCTACCTCCTCCTCCTCCTCCTCCCCCGGCGAGGCGAGTTTAGCCGGGCATTCTGCAAAAGCGTGCGAAAGCGAATCATTTTAATTAACTTTGAGTGAGTGTTTCAATCATATTTCCTTTGTGACGCGCGCGGCGGCGCGGGCGCGGGAGCAGCAGCAGCAGCAGGGCGGCTCTCCATCCCCATCGGATCCGCGCCACCGGACCCAGGCGACGATTAATAAAGCTCGCAGGGGAGTGGAAGGGGTGGGGGTGAAAATCAAATGATGGAAAAGTTTTGGAGACGCGAAGCCACGCGCCGCGACGGAACGTGTATCGCTGCTTCGCAAGTTGTGAACCCGCGCGGTGCGCGGGCGCGCCGTCGCGTCGGGGATCATCGTGCCCGGATCCCACCCGATGCCACCCCCACACAGGTCGACCGTCGCGACCGCGCGGGACGAAGCCCGAATCGCGTTTCTCTGTCTCCTCCCACCCCCCTCCTAAACTTTTCCCCCGCTCTCGTCTGTCCACTAACGCCACACAATATATGCGCGCGCTAAACTAAACGGGCCGATTATGTGGTCCTGGGAAGTAAAGCTCCGCCAGGACAGAGAGGAGAAACCGCAACGATGCGGTGAGCCTGTTGTGTGAGCTCGGCCTCGGCCCCTTGGGGGTTCCTCTGGAGGAGGAGGACGAGGGTCCAGAGCCAGGGAGTAAGTGCTTCCGTGGGGGCGAGAGAAATCCAAGTAGCAGTAGTAGCAACACGCCAAAAGGCGGGGCGGGGCGAAAAAAAACGCGTCGGGGCCATCTGCCGCGCGCGCGGGCCGGGCGCGAGGGGGCGGTAACATGACACGTCTGGGTTAGGTCCAACGGGGTGGTGGGTGGCTGGCCGGGGTGGCTGCACCCTCACACCCCCGCCCGCATCCCCTACCATCCCCCCCACGTGGCTTATCACGTGCCAGCGTGGATTCAAACGCCTCTCTCGCACCCCCTCCCAAACCCCTCGGCGCCAGCAAAGGTGAGATCCAAGCTTCCA